TCTCTCTCTCTCTCTCTCTCTCTCTCTCTCTCCAACCGAAGTATTGGTCTTAAACTTCTCTCCAGACTCTGTATTGAAATTAAATTAAACTTAATATTGATTTGAATGTCTTTGACAAGTGTTGACAACAATTGATAAAATGTAATCAAATAGGATTTGTATACGAAATGAACAAATGTTTTGCATATAATCTAATCATTCATTCATTCAGTATTCATATTAAACTGCAATACGAGTCATGAAAATGAATCAAATAACTAATGAATGAGTAATGAAAGCGAATATCAATTATTGTGTATAATTTACTGTAAATGTATTGTAAGTGTCGGTTAAAGTGAACTACAATTACACTAACTATGCAATTAATATGCAATTAAATGCAATATTAATTGCAATAAGTACCATGGTCACCTCTACAGATCGCTAATATTAATTAACTGTAATATTAAATGTAATGATACAATTAAATGATAAGTGATCATCATTGATAACTTATTAACTGTTATATATTGCATGTGAATAGTGTTGCAAATCGGGGTAAACTTATAACAATGAGTGCATATTTTATGACCTAATGGATCAGCTGTGGTGACAATGGAGTGCACGACAAGCATATGCTCATTAAATGGATGATATTGTACCTGATATGGGATCGCATGCATGTCTATTGCATGACTCATACAGTACTGCAGTACAGGTGGTGGTCCAGCCGTGCCCTCACCGCACAGGTAAGTGTGCAAACTCTATACCACTCTATCGGACACAACACTCACCGCACGTTATGTCACACCAATTGTAATGGCATTTAATTGTAATACTAATTGCGATTCCGAAACGCGTTATGCGTTTCAGCGAAAGCTTACGAGAAATATATAAATGCATTGAAACTTACGTTTTGAACGCTTGTATTGTTTGACACAATCAATCAAATCGATTGCAATCCAATTCTCACTCCAATTGTCGAAACACTTCTCCACAACTCGTCGTTCATTCAAACGATTAACTCATTTAATGATTAAGAGTTGACTTTTTATAAGCGATGAAACAATTGGTTATTTGCGAACACTTTGTGACAGTTTGTGATTCAGAGATCAAAAATAACACACAATCCTTATGTTGACTGGCATTGAGTTGCACTGCATTTCATCACTGCATTTGTTGCCATAGGTTTCGATAGTTTAGTTTTGCCCGCATATATTCCCACCAAACTTATTTGAGCTAGATTAACTGTTTAGATAACTAGATAATCATAGATTATCATATTGGTCCAATTAATTTATCTATTAAGATTATTACTAATTGATCACGACACAAAATTATGTATGTTTTCTAAATGTTGCTGTTTATATTTGCGGGCATTTCTTACAACATAGGGTTATGTGCGCTCATAATGTTATGCAACGTGTTATAGCGTTCACTCACTAGAGATCGACACAGTTTTCGCTGCTCTGTGTCTGGGATTTGACTTTTGACTATTGAATAAACTCTTTGACAACTGTTTTGGTGCCAAACATGCAATCATTGAGATTATTATATTTGCTTAATTTTGCACAATATATTATTACCATAATGCGATCACACCATATGATTCATACCTTAGCGCACATGTGTGGGCACCAGTTATTGATTACCTGATGATAATAAATTTACGATAGTTTGTTTTACTTTTAAATATAGCCGATGATTGTTGAAATAGTTAATCTAGATGTGGGCACAATCTAGCTTAGTTTTTCGTATCACAGCTTACTGTTTTATTTGCTATATTTTTATCACGGTCTAAATTTAGTTTTTAGAGACTAGAATACAAGTGAATCTATATTTCCCTTTATTTTCTAATTTAATAAATATCTATTTGTTTAGTATATAGAGTAGAATGAGTTATGAATAAACATTTACATTATTGGCAATTGAATGCATTTTTAAAACTTTATTTTACCCACAATTTGCTTAAAGGCTTTAAATTGTAATAATTTGTGCGAAGGTGTGCTGTATTCTTACCATGAGTTGTATGTATTACTGTTATATAAATATAAACCAATTTAAATGTGTTTTCAACTCTTATTGTTGGAGAGAAGTGTGCTATGAATTTAAAGAATCACTCGAAACCCAAACACTATATTCTTGATGCTTAAGAATGCCATTGAAAGTAATGCATATTCTGTGCAAACATTTCCCCATTTCCTGACTAATAGAGAATATTCTTGAGACGAAACACTTGTTCCGTATATATAGCACATTATGGCAT